TTGGCTCGGTCCCTGCTCGCGGCCTTGGTCGGAGGGAGCGAGCTGGTGGTCCGGCCACACGGCGGCTCGCAGGCAACGGCGTCGGGTTTGAAGGAGCAACAGAAGTCAGCTTGAAAGCCCTCTGGAAACGGAGCAGAAAGAACATGAATGAGCGGAGGAGCGTGAGGGCCGCACCCAGACCCAGGCGGGGGTCAGCCCCGCCCGCCCCACGGAGGAGGCCTGTGTCCCAGGAGTTGCCCAAGCTCAACACCCTGGGCCACGGGGCTGCCTGCCTCCCGCAGGAGCCAGACCTCCTTGCAAAGGCAGAGGGAAACCGACGGGCAGCGGGCAGCGCTCCGCTTCGCCTCGCTCTCCTGTTGGTCTGTTACAAGGACTGCTCTGAAACAAGTGAGATGCAGTGCCAGCCAGTTTCTTCCCCGGAGCAGCGAGCTCCAGGAGGAGGCTCGGGCAGGGGTGGGTGTGAGGGACTGTGTGTCTTTGGGTGATGGCACGTCAGTCCCTAAGACACACGTGGGGACCTGGAATAACCAGCTGCACTCTGCCAGGTCAACATGCGTCCTGTCCAGGAAAAGAATTATCTTATTGTTTTCAGTAATCTTTCCTTTTTTTTCATGCAGCCTTTTATATTATCCTTTTATTGGTGCTTACCTTCTAGTTAAAACTGGTTAGCACAAACCATCATTGGTCCAGCACCAGCGTTATATGATTTTACTAGTATTTTCAAATGCTGTGATGAAATTGCCATCTTACTGCCCTAGCTGGTTTAGCTCAGTGGATAGAGCATGGGCCTGCAGACTGAAGGGTCAGGGGTTCGATTCCCTGCCCTGGTTGGGGTATTCGGGAGGCAACCAATTGATGTCTCTCTCTCACATCAGTGTTTCTCTCTGTCTCTCCCCCTCCATTCCACTCTCTCTAAAAAAATCAATGGAAAAATATCCTCAGGTGAGGATTAACAAAACAAACAAAAAATTTGCCATCTTACTAATGGAAAAACCAAGGTGATGAGGATGGAAAGAAACAGATAGTAATTTGAAGGTAAAATAGGACTGTTGTGCAAAGCACCAAGTTTGCCTGCTCCCTGGAGAACGGTGCGCGTGGAAGGTACTGGGCATCAGTCAGGCAGCAGCCGATGACGGGCATTTGTGGTGCAGAGACTTGTGTAACAGAAACATCTCCCCATGCCTCGTAACCTCATAAAATATAGAATCCATATCTCGAGGATTAAAAATGGCGGCAGAGTAAGTGGAGGCTACATGGACATGCTCCCAGGAATGAACTAGAATTACATCTAAAATACAGAAAAAGAGAACCCTGATACCTGACGACCGCTATCCACCCCACGTGACTTACCAGGGTCCACAAGTGCCAGCCGCTTGTCCCGGGACAGAGACGCTCTCTCCTCCTGGTTGAACATTCTGTCGATCATCACCATCTCAGCCGAGGGATTAATCCGCTGAAAAGGAGAGAGTCCAGTCATCCCAGGTGCCCTTTAACAAGCGCAAGCATCTCCTTGCATCTTTGGAACGGAAGCAGTCAGAAATGAGAGTTTAATGTCTAAGTTCCAGGTGTCCCATAAAGTCAAATTCTTCCTTGCCACATAGGATGCATTTTTTTAAAAAATTTTTGTTTTTTTTGTTCTTATTTTTTAATTGATTTCAGAGAGGAAGGGAGAGGGAGAGATGGAAACTTCAATGATGAGATATAATCATTGATCGACAGCCTCCTGCATGCCCCACACTGGGAATCGAGCCACAACCTGGGCAAGAGCCCTGACTGTGAATTGAACCGTGACTTTCTGGTTCATAGGTCGATGCTCAACCACTGAGCCACACTGGCCAGGCTAGGATGCATTTTTTTAAAATTGTATTTCTACCTAAATGAGGTGAGTACTCCCGGGGCAATGATGGACATATCATCTTATCTTTTTATCTCTGTTTCTCTCTTTCTGTTTCTCTCTCTCTCTCTCGTTGAATTTATTGGGGAGACGCCAATTAATAAAATCATACATGTTTGAAAATAAAATTAAAAATGTATAAATAAATAAAACAGTATTTTGGGGGGAGAAAGGTAATCTACACATTGGTACTAAAGGGGATGTGAAAAGTAAACCCTTCTCCGCCTCCCTCTGTGCCCTTCCCACCCCCAGTGTCTCTCCCTGGAGGCACCCCGTGCCTAGCAGTTTAATACACTCTTCCAGAGACAGATCATGCACATACACACATTTATGTTCTCTTTTTTGTTATATTTTGCACACAAATGGTAGCAATAATACATACTGTTTTGTACCTTTCTTATTCCCCTTCTGCTAACATGTTGGAAATCTTTTCCTTAGAATGACCTTTTAACTTTGCACTCTGCTATGCTTAAATTTGTGATTTTTTTAGGGCTTTCCTTAAAATTAGTTTGTGCCATACAGAATCAAATCTGAAGTTACATTTCTGGGTCTTATTTAACATGAAAATTCATGGCAGATACAATTTGACCAAACAAGTGGTCCTTTCCTCAATAATGATAGTCTTTTTGACATCTCACAATTTTGTTTTAGAAATGGTTATCAATATAAGAACAATTATTTCAGCCCTAGCCGGTTTGGCTCAGTGGATAGAGCGTTGGCCTGTGGACCAAAGGGTCCTGGGTTCAATTCCAGTCAAGGGTATGTACCTCAGTTGCAGGCTCCACCCTGACCTGGGCCCTGGTCAGGGTGTGTACAGGAGGCAACCAATCAATGTGTTTCTCTCACATCAATGTTTCTCTCTCTCTTTCCCTCTCTCATCCACTCTCTCTAAAAATCAATGGAAAAATATCCTCTGGTGACGATTAACAGCAGCAACAACAAAAAGAACAACTATTTCAGATTTTGGAGGCATACTTTTAAGTAAAAATATATTAGAAATGCGCATACACTCACACACACACACACACACAAACACACACTATCTCTGCGGCAGCGCTAAGGATATCCAACTGGCGGCTTAGGCCCGCTCGCCAGTTGGACATTCCCCAAGGGCTCCCGGACTATGAGTGGGTGCAGGCCAGGATGAGGAACCCCCCCCCCACCATACACACACACACACACACACACACACACACACACATAAGTGCATGAGTTTCATGCACCGGGCCTCTAGTATATAATAAAAGCCTAAGCGACCATTAGGGTGGAACAACCAGAACAACTGGTCGCTATGATGCACACTGACCACCAGGGGGCAGCTGCCCCCTGGTGGTCAGTGTGTTCCCAAAGGGGGAGCGCCACTCAGCCAGAAGTCAGGCTCACGGCTGGCGAGTGCAGCAGTGGTGGCGGGAGCCTCTCCCATTTCTGCAGCAGTGCTAAGGAGCAGCGAGCCAAACGTTAAGGAGCAGTGAGCAGGCGGGTGGTAAGGAGCGAGGGGTCCCGGACTTCGAGAGGGCGCAGGCCAGGCTAAGGGACCTCTCCCTCCCCCAGTGCACAAATTTCGTGCACTGGGTCTCTAGTACATATAAAAGCACAAACATATCTACATATTTACACAATATTGTGTACATGTATAATGTAGTTCAATTAATCCTCCACAGAACATTTCCAAAGTTGATCTCAAACTGAAAACCACTGAAAGAGACCAATTTATAGGTTAACACCCATATGTTTTTAGAACTGCTAAAATCTAGGTTTGGTCTTTTCATCATTCCCTGAGATACCTTACTCCTTTCTCTAACTGGTGCTTTAAAAGCAATGCTAGTTCCTATTTGAGGTGTTGAAAAGGTTCTGGAATTAGACAGTGGTGATGGTTGCACAATCTTGTGAATATGCTAAAAACCATCAGGTTGTACATTTGAAAATTAAGCGTGAATTTTATGACAGGCTAACAATCAAATAAAAACAAGACAAAACTAACGGTAACACCTGTCATCACCTCGTCTGTTCAGCTGCTGCTGTGAACCTTCACTGGTGGTGCCCCCAGGCCTCCCCCTCTGGGCTGGGGAGGGGAGCACACAGCATCAGAGAGCGGACCAGGCATCAGGGGGGCTGGGCTGCATCCGGGCTCTGCTAATTGCCCGACAGACTCACTAGCTATGACCCTGGGTGAGTTACTTAACCAGAGCCTAGGTTCCTCATTTGGAACAATCACAGGAGCACTGGCGGTGAGCAACCAGGTACCGCGCAATAGATACCACCTGCTGCTGGTAGTAGAACAGTCAAGTGTAAGGTTTTCTGAAAACTTAAATATCTGTGCCTTTTAAACTGTGCTGGGGAAACGTAATTCCCGAAGCTTTTCTCTCTGAACCAGTAGCTGTGACCTGCAGGGTTTAAGAACCAAATGTGCTTGCAGCAGCGTTTACCATGGCATCCTCCAGGAGCAGGCATCTGTACTTGTTAAGCATAGCTTGGGTCCTTTTTAGGAGCTGAGTGGCAACTGTTTCAAATTCATTGTCGACTGTAAGAAGAGAGAGAAAAATAGTAAGAGAGTGCCAGTCACCCATAGGTCTTCAGTTCTCAGGACTGAAATGCATTGTTCTTCCCCTGTTCAAACAGGTCCTGTCTGTGGCCATTTCCTCTTCTCAGGTCAGCTTTTCCGTGATTGAGTGTCGTGCTTCTGCACTGCCTTCCCTCACTGTCCACCGGTCTGTGATTGTGGAAACTGAGTTCAATACTAGCTTCTATTAATTTTAACTAAGAATCCAAAAACAGCCCTCACCGGTTTGGCTCAGTAGAAAGAGAGTCGGCCTGCAGACCGGAGGGTCCTGGGTTCGATTCCGGTCAAGGGCACGTACCTCGGTTGCAGGCTCCTCCCCAGCCTGGGCCCAGGTCAGGGCATGTGCAGGAGGCAACCAATCGATGTGCTTCTCTCACATCGATATTTCTCTCTGTCCTCCCCTCTCTCTGGAAAAATATCCTCAGGTGGGGATTAAAAAAAAAAAAGAATCCAAAAACATAGTATTTTTAACATCACCTATAAAAGAAAATAATATCACACAGACCAGCAACAAATATCAAGCCTCCCTCCCTGCCAATCATATGAAAAAGTTAACAGCTGGGACAATGAAGTCCTACTGTCTGGGCTGGGCAGACAGTGTTATCTAAAGACAAACTAGCTCATGGTCCCTTGCAGGCCATGGTGCTGTGGCTCTGTCCTTGTCTGTTGGTCCCCAAGGTCTCACATTTCTACTTCACTCTTAGAGTCTTCACGCCCCTGCCCAATGTTGGACCTGGGCCTCCCCAGGAAGCTCACATGGACTGACCGAGACCACGACGCTCAGCTCAGAGACCCCTGGTGTCACAGTGGCCTGTGGGGTTACGGCTGGTTCACCTTTCCTGTGGGAGCGAGCCTGGCAGCTGAAGAGGACGCAAGCAGTGGGGGGACTCTGGAGGCAGCCTGGGCATGGTGGTGGGAGGGAGGCAGAGCTAGGTGAGCTGCACCGCTGGGGAGGCAGCGGGTCAGGAGGGAGACCGGGCTGAGTTCCAGGTTGGGACAAGGAACTTATCCTTAGCCTCTTTTTGCCAGTTTCTTGACAAACAGCAATGCCCTGGACTCACTTTGGAACCTGTAAGAATGTTTGGGGCTGAAGGATCGATGCAACTCATAGAACTGATAGTGGGAGCTAAGGCTGTGCTCTCGCCTAAACAGGAGGACTCCGCCTGAGGCCTTGGGCAGAGCCGTCCCCTCTGCAGCCAGCAGCCCAAACAATGCTGTGCCTTTACTGCCCCCAAGATGTGTCCATAAAAGCCTCTGGCACGTGGGTATCCCTTCCCAGAATACTGAGAAGAATAAGCCACGACCCTAAACACAGACTGGGAAACAGAGTAAATAAACTGTGATAAAAACAATAGCTGGCTACCATCTGGGGGCATCCCCAGAGGGCGCTGAGGGGTCACGGCGGGTTACCTTTCCTCAAGTCCTCCTCGGTGGGCATGGAGCCCTGGCACACGTGGTAGGAGAGCAGCCTCTGCACCGCGTCACCGAGAGACCGGAACTGACTTTTATCGGGCGTCACGGCGTGGGCTTGGTCCCTCTGCAGCTGCTGGAGGATGCTGCAAGAGAGAAACTGCACGTCGATGCAGAGTCACGGGAAGAAACAGAACCCTCCCTGAGAAAGAAGGAACGGGACCCTTTGCATGCAGAGAGAGTAAGACATACAGGACTGTCACTGTTCAAAGGATAGCACTTCTGGTTTTCCTACAGTTTCACACTGTACACCAGGGTGGTTCAGAGTTCGGTGTAACCACCCACAGGGAAGGCACACTCTGGCCCTGGCCTCGGAAGCTCAGTGCTCCTACCAACTACGCACGCGTGGGGCTCACACAGACCGGCAACGCCTGAGCAACGGCCAACCACGCTTATGAGAACATTTCTGTTCTGAACATAGGAGTTTATCAAATCATGCTCCCCTCAGAGACGCCTGGCCAGCCACAGGGCACGTGGTATACCGAGACGGCAAAGGCTTCTTCTCCTTAAGAACGAAAGAGCAGCCCTAGCCAGTTTGGCTCAGTGGATAGAGCGGTTGGCCTGTGAACTGAAGGGCCCCGGGTTCGATTCCAGTCAAGGGCACATGCCCAGGTTGCGGGCTCAACCCCCAGTAGGGGGCATGCAGGAAGCAGCTGATCAATGATTATCTCTCATCACTGATGTTTCTCTCTCTCTCTCTCACTGATGTTTCTCTCTCTCTCTCTCTCTCTCACTGATGTTTCTCTCTCTCTCTCTCTCTCTCACTGATGTTTCTCTCTCTCTCTCTCTCTCTCTCTCTCTTCCTCTCTGAAATCAATAAAAATATATTTTAAAAAAAGAACAAGAGAGCAGACAGTAGCCTCAAACTACCTATATTTATAGGTCCTAATGGAAACAAATTGTAAGAATGGATTTTCAAAGTATATGTTTACAAATACCGTATGTATTATTATAACCTGACTTCTGTGGTATATGTACTGAAGGTTAGGAACCTAGAGGAATGTTCAAAATGAGTGGTAGCCAAGGTCACTCACAAAGCCCCTTTAGTTAGCTGTTTTGCGGCAGGCCTCTTCTGTCCTCCCGAATGACCATCCACCTACGGACAAAACACACCTTTTATTCCCTTTTCTTGAAAACACAAGCAGGATGCAGTTACACATAAAGGTCACCATGTTTTGAGTACTTTCAACTCGCTATCGAGAGCGTATTCTAAGGATGTAGAATTTGCTCTGAAAGCCCACAGACGCGTGTGGCGGGTGGCGCTGTGTCAGGTCACGAAAGCTGTGCTATGGCTCCTTGGGAGGGCTCAGCCTGGGCCTTAAAGCCCGGATCCCCACCGCCCTCTGCGGGCGCACCCTTGTATTTCTGAGGGAGTATATCTGTGGGTGCCAACTCCATGAACATCTGGAAATTCCGTAGACATTACTGAGTTCATCTTCTCAGAGATAAATAAGGGAGCAAACACTTTGAGCTCCTTCATAGTTAGGAGTGTAATCTAGTAGGCGTTTCTATAATGTTAAGGAACCTGAGAATGAACCAGATCCTTCCCTGAGGGGGCCAGGCAGACCTGGACTACAACAAGTTTCACTAAACTATCACGGATTGCTAAGTTTGATGGAGGAGAAACTGAGGCCTTCGTAAGCTGAAAACAACTTTTTCCCCTTCCTTTTTAGATCAGTGTTGAGTTAAAAGACCATAGGGACTACTTCATACACTCCTGGTTGTTACTGCAGAAAAAAAATATCTCAGTATAACTAAGAGGAATAATCCACTTTGATATGATAGTAAGTGATATCATTCAATAGTAACCTACATATTTTGAGTGCCTACTCTGTGTTGGCTGCTGGTATACTATTAACTGATGAAAACGTGATAGCACCTGTGAACATGTGAGAAGCAGAACAGACACATTCATCCCATAAACATCAACACAGCAAGGCCTGGACCTGGGGGAAGGTCTTCAGTGAGCACGTTTGTGGTCACACAGGCACCGGGCTGACTGTGGAGACAGTGCCGGCAGCAGGAAGCACGCAGGTGATAACACATTTCCTTTCAATGACACTGAACGTTGAAAGAAGCTTCATAAACTGTGTTCTACCTGCACAGCTGGCTGGCCAGGAGAGGATCCTACGTTTTCCTGCTGAGGTTGTGCGGTTCCTAAGGATGCGGATATAACTTTGCTTCCAGAATCCTGCCCTATTTGAATGAACACACAAGAAAGACAATGTTCAACAGAAACAGTAAAGCAGGCCCATCGTACAACCCTGGACACAGTGCGCACAGGTTACGGAACATTCCGAAAGGGCTTCCTTATCATGGATGCTTGATGTGAGGAAGGGGAGCAGGAAGTACATTTATCGACAAAACCTCTGGAGGCAGAGGTGGGGATTAGTAAAGCCCAGTTAGAATAATAAGTAGAAATAAATACATACGTAAATAAATAAAAGCTGTCAATGCTACAGTTTCAAATTACCTATGGTCTGAGGAATAGGCCTCAAGCTAGTAATCTGTCAGCATTACCAAAACGCAAAACACTCACAACGGAAAGAAAGGGAGGCCCAAGTAGGGGACTGACTAGGCGCTCTTGCTTTTGCCTTTCTAGTGCTTACTGAGCAATGCAGGTGTTTGAAGCTTTAGGAAAAGCGGGAGACACTGGCACAATATTTTTAGTCTCGGTGGGATTCTAAATCTACATATAGGAAGCAGCACAAGGGTAATTACAAAGCCACCTGTGCCACAGAATACTAGATTGTGTTGTTTCTAAGCAGCACATTATTTCATATAATTTAATTAGAAGCGCTTTTTTCTTGCTTAGTGGTGTATAAAATGATGCTACAGGTGCAACGTGAAAAGGATAGAGAAGAAAGGAATGATCAGAGCAGAGGTGCGAGTGCGTCAGAAAGACTGCATGCAGGAGGAGGGATGCGAGAAGTGTCCTGGGTGTCGGGAGACAGGGACGAGCTTGCGACGAAGGCTCCTGACCTGGCAGTGCGGTGCTCAGGAGGCCAGGAATCTGTGCTTGCCTCAGGCCATCGGGCGTCTTGGAAGCAGAAATGGGGCAAGTCTGATTCAAACATTTCTTCTGAGCCTGTCAAAACATTGCCAAGATGGAAACATTAATTTCATGAGTAAAAGCTTTAATAGATTACTTAATGCCAACCACGTCTGTTAATGCCTACCTGGCACTACCTTCAGCTTAGATTACAAACCAAACAGAAGTCCTAACACGCTCTCCTTTCACACTGGAGAACGAAGAGTACCTCAAACCTGGAGGCACACTGGCCTTTCAGACCTGTTGGCCGGGAGCCGGGCTGACAGCAGACCGCCCTCTGCTCAGGGGACCACGCTTGTGGAGCTCAGACACAAGCTGAGCCAGAACTGTTTCCATCCCCGGCGATTTTACATGCCACCTGCAAGGATTACGACCCTGACGGTCAGTCCTGACGTGGTGTCTGCATTGGCTTCGAGCACCTGGTCAGGGCCCATGTGCCAACCCCAGATGTACTGTCTACACTCACTTTCTTCTGTGCAGAGGGTCTAAAGTACATTTTACCTGCTTCATGTCAACATCAGGTGGCATGTAACTGGGAAGTGTAAACTCAATCAAACATTGGCCTAAGCAAATATTATTAGAAACATTAATCTGATATTTAAACTGTTGTGTGCTTCTTTTCTATACATGAGGAAGATGAATTGGATGATTTTTAAAAAAACTTATTATTATTTATTATTATTTTTAAATATATTTTTATTGATTTTAGAGAGGAAGGGAGATAGAGAGAAACATCAATGATGAGAGAGAATTATTGATAGGCTGCCTCCTGCACGCCCCCTATTGGGGATCGAGCCCGCAACCTGGGCATGTGCCCTTGACTAGTATCGAACCTAGGACCCTTCAGTCTGCAGGCCGACGCTCTATCCACTGAGCAAAATCAGCTAAGGCTGGATGATGTTTGAGGACTCCAAGTTCTTTTTCACTAAAAACATCTGTTACCTCTATAAAGCATTTAAGGTAAGACAATAAAGGGCTTTTAAACTACTTTCCACTTTTAATCCTCTATGTTATGCTACTTCATCACGCCTCAGGTTTTCAGAGTTTTTTCTTCAGTTTTCTATTTTGTATAGTGGATTTAGAGTTCAGCCTAACCATCTCCACAGGCGCCTTAAACTGTGACCCTGGCCTAAGTGCAATGTTCTCACCAACCATTCACGTGTGGGTGCTCATATAGACCTGGCAACGCCTGACCAACTAAGCTCATGTTAGTTCTGTCCTTACAAAAGGACAAAACGGTCCCCTGGTTCATCCTGCCATTAGCAGGGCAGGGCAGACCTTATACCACTCTAGGTAGACAGACAATAAGTTCTTAGTATGAAAACCCTGGGGGAAAATTCTCCAGTTTTCATGTATTTCCCCCAGAATGTAACTCCACACCCTCCCACTGCAGGGGACCTCTTCCCCAGCGGACACGTGCTGAGGAGAGGCCTGGGCCTCGTCACAAATGTTTCCAGGGGGGACACTAAGGGCCACCCCCAGGAAGAAACAAAACAGACAGAAGTTGGGACAGGGCAAGGCTATGCACGGGACTCTGAGATAACGAGATCAACAGAAAAACAGAGAAACCAGAATTTATATGGACGGCAGTGTGGCCAGTACACGACGTTTGGAATTCCACCAATACGCCTCGTTCACCGTTCACACGACACAGAAGAACACCATCCTGACTGCTTCAGAGCCCACACCTTTTGTTTTAAGAAAATGCTCTCCCTCTTATTTATCGGACATGACCTGGAATGACTCTTAGCTACTAAACAGTCAAATAAATCAAAATCCATGCATACGTTAAGGAGTAAAACTATAAAGAAAAGCAAGGGGAAAAAAGAGAAAAGCAAGGAAGAGATCTCCATAAAAGTCAGGAGAGGCACATGGAAGAGGGTGTTTCTGGGGGTGGTGGTAATATTTTATTTCTTGAGTGGTTAAATGGATGGGTATTTGCTCTATAATTATTTAACTGTACATTTATGTCTTATGCATTTTTTCTAAATGTGTTCTATTTCACAATACAGAAGAGTAATAAGAAAAAACAACAACAATCTAATGTAATGTCAACATTGGAAAATCTGCCATCATTGGAGGGTATAGGCACGGGCGTGTCTGACAACATGGCTGGGTCTGCAGAGGCGTGTCTCCTCTCAGCGCGTTTGGGCCCATGTTTTACAGCCCCCTGTGCGCCCGTGTGGGTGCTGAGCATCGGCACCTGAGTTCTCAGCCTCTGCTGCCCGTGCTCCTCGCTGCGTCCCTTCCCTTGGGACTAGGACCATCAATGTAACTGTCACACTGTGGGGGGAGCGGGAGGTTGGTGGGGGGTAGGCCAGGTGGAACCTGGTCTGGCGCCTACACTGGAGTCCCCTGACTCACCAGGTCTGCATGTTTGGAAAGATCCGCTCTGTCTCCAGAAGTGCACTGGTTGCTCCCAGTCCACTCACTGCCAGGGCAGGACTTTTGCTGTCTGGTTCACAGTGGTATCCCAGCACCAGAACAGGCCTGCACCACAGTGAGCACCCAGAAAACAGTTGTTAAATAACAATGAGCAAGGAGCATTCGAGAGCTTGCTCCCGGCATATGCCATTAGATTGGCTCAAATAAACTCTTATAAAAACTCTTATCCATGCTCAGCCGGTGTGGCTCGATGCTTGAGTGTTAACCTATAAACCAGGAGGTCACAGTTCAATTCCAGGTCAGGGCTCATGCCCGAGTTGCAGGCTCAACTCCTAGTAGGGGGTGCGCAGGAGGCAGCTGATCAATGATTCTCATCATTGATGTTTCTATCTCTCTCCCCCTCTCCCCCTCTCTCTCTCTGAAATTAATAAAAATATATTTAAAAAACCTTATAAAAATAAAAAATAAAAAAAGTGAATGAGGCACACTGTCTCTGGAGTGTGCCTGTGCCTTTCCCTTCCCCTCATCTTCCCCCAGACACCTTACAGCTCCAGAGGTCCTTCTTTTGCCTCTGTAACTTATTTCCTGAGCCCACCCTGCTGGCTCACTTTTTCTACGTCTGTGACTTTCTAAATAAACTTTCTCTTATAATTGGAAAAAAGAGAGTGAATGAATTCCACTGCAGCAGAAGTCACAGGGCCTGTCCCTCCTCCCAGTCCAGCTCTCCTCTCCCCAGGAGCCATCAACTTTCTCCTATTCCAGTGATGGAGAACCTATGACACGCGTGTCAGTGGTGACACGCAAACTCATTTTTTTGGTTGATTTTTCTTTGTTAAATGGCATTTAAATATATAAAATAAATATCAAAAATATAAGTCTTTGTTTTACTATGGTTGCAAATATCAAAAAATTTCTATATGTGACACGGCACCAGAGTTAAGTTAGGGTTTTTCAAAATGCTGACACGCCGAGCTCAAAAGGTTCGCCATCACTGTCCTATTCCTATGCCCACAGATGAAAATCTTCCAGAAATAACATTTATCATTCTGTGGTTTTTACTGAACTCTAAGGGAAGACCTGTTCTTGGAATGTATTTTCTTCACAAATAGAGAAGCTACTTAAGGATATTTGGTTGAGTACTTGGCTCCAAAAACTCTGCTAATATCAATGTACAATTTTAACTCTTTAGACCCCATGAATTATCATGACACCATGAATCAGAATACTTAATATGTTAATTTCAATCTCTGTGGTACACTTTGAAAGAAGCCAATTACAGATTAGATGATCCAACTAAAAGTCTGGTCATCAATGTATTCTTTAGATTGACTTATGACCAAAATGGGGAACTGTGAACAAAAAGGGTCCTGGAAAGTATCCTTGCAAGGTGATCTGATCATAAATTCCTAAGTGGGCAGGTAATGGTGGGCAGCCACCCCAGACTTAAAACGTTTTAGTAAAAGGTTTGTCTTTGCTTTTAGTAAGCCCTGTCCATTGTTTTTATGCATCTAGGTTTACACACATTTGATATGAGTCATAACCACCCTCAAGAGAGCACACAATCTTGTTAGCGATCCTGTAATCCAGGCCCCGCCTGGCTTTCTCCCATCCTCATGTGATCTTTCTTATATTCCCCTTTAATCTCAGATGCATAAAAAAGCTGCAAAACTGTCATTTTTTGGGAGCATCTGAGATCTTGCTCCTGGCATATGTCCTCAGTTTGACTCAAACTCTTGTAAAAATTAAAAACAAATAAATAACAAATTAGCAAGATGATATTTACCCAACAACAGGCATTTGCTGAATGAGAGAAACCATTTGGGATCTGCCCAACCACACTCTCCCCTGGGAAATGCCCCACTGCCACAGAGCTGTGTCAGAGCCAGCGGGTTAGAGGACACACACAGACGAGTTACCTGCTAGAGGGGCGAAGAGCTAAAACCCAGGGAAGGAGCACCTTTTTTTCCATCTAAAAGTGCCAAGCCTGCCAGGGGAGCAGAGGGGTGTCTTTTTTATTTTGGCTCCTGGTACAGAGCAGCAGAGGCCCTGCATGCCACCTACTCCTGTCACCCACAGCCCTATCCTCTGCGCATGAGGGGCCAATCAGACTCTCTCCCGGGAATTTAGAATGGGGGTGGGGGTGGGGGGGAGGAGAGGTAAATACCCAAGCGCAGTGGTTCTTTAATGCAAGTTTATAGACTGATTGTATCAAGATCACCTGGGGCGCTTCTGAAAGACAAAGTTTCTGGGTTCTGATCACAAAGATCGATTCAGAAGTCCAATGTGGGGCTTAGGCTTTTAGATGTTTAAAAAGCTCTCCAGGTGATTTGAATGCATTGCTAAGTTCTGAAACCACTGCCCTTGTAGTCTCTGTTACATGCTGGGTAATACGTAAAGCTGGCCTGGTGGCCATGTCGGTCCAGCTGAAGAGTGGGAGAGAGCAGAGAAGGACAGATAAGCGGCCACACTGTCTCGAGGAGGCCGAGGGAGCAGCATGAGACTGGTTTCCGACCCTTAGAAGAAGCTGCACTCTACTAGTATTTTCTGGACATTCCCCTTGTTTTGTGAAATGTGTTAGGGTGAGTTTCTTTTTTAATTTTATTTCATATTATTTTATTTACTATCTTATTATCTTATTTTATTATTTTATC